TATGTGCTTCAGTTGTACTAATATAAGTGTAGCACAAATCAGAGGATAAAGCCAGTAGCTTTTCCATTACACATTTTATGTCCGAATTGTGTTTTGTAATACAAAGATATTCAATTCATTCATCATCTCTTGTTTCAATATGGTGTCTATTTTGGCGGATATCTTTGAAACTTAATAAATTTCTATGAGAATTGGGAGAATATAATGCATTATCAATGTGCAATATTGTTCCTCCACATAACAACATATCGGCTCTTCCGAAGCCTTCAAATATTTTCAAGGTGCCAGATATAGTACTGACATTAGTCTTTCGATTCACTAAATTATAAAATATCTTTTATTCTTGAGAATTGTGTGGGTTGTTGCACTGTCAGCAAGGCACATATCTTTATTATCGGTGCTAGTGTCCATATTCATTCTGAGAGTTTCGTGCTGATAACATGTTATAAAACTAAATAAAACAATATAGAGATCATAGAGAGAAAGAGAAGAAAGAAAATAATATTATATTATCTTTTTCAAAAATACTTTTTATATTGTAATGTGAATCTTATTTATAGAATCTAAAGAAGATAAAAATCATAGCTATGAATAGAAAATAGAAAAATAAAAAAAAATAAAAAAATTGGACATCCACTTTATCCTTTACTAGCGTTTGTCCGCTTTTTTTAATGCGCACAACATAGAAAAATAAACGTGTGTATATTTTGTATGAAGTTTTTATCATATTTAAGATTAATTAATGCATTTGTTTTTAGATATTCTCAAGCAGTCTTAAAATCAGGATGATAAATGTATATGTACTAAAAATACTTTAGTGAATTAACTATATATTAATGCTACTATTATTTTAAACATACCGAATGAATCCTCCACAACACCTTGTAGCACCAACCCGAGACCACCATAACTATGAAATTCAATAAGAAAGAGTATAAGCTACATTATTTGGCACAAAAATGTTTATGAACATACCTTGAGGACGACATGATGCACCATCATTTATGACTTCCATGTTAACATCTGATATTACTGCATCCTACAAAGCTTCATCAACATCCATATCGCCTGATACAAAAATAATAATTAACATATTTATATCTTTTATATATATATATATATATATATATATATATATATATATATATATATATATATATATATATATATATATATATATATATATATATATATATATATATATATATATATATATATATATATATATATATATATATATATATATATATATATATATGTTGAAATTACTGCTCGCATATGTAAAACAATATCTTGTATACCTGTAGCAGAGTGACTATTGTTGATACGTTGGTTAGGTAATGTGAAATTATGATCTGCCGGTTTAAATACATAAAATGAGGGATGACAAATAAACAATATTATACAAAGTACGATTATAATGTCTATATTGATCATCACTAACCAAGTGCAACATCATTAATATGTGTAATTCTACTTGGGCCGACTTCATTATCATGAGTTCCTTGAAAGTGTGATATTGGAGATCTCATATTTGTAAAATTTTGAAATGGAACTCTCCTCCGACTGTTCATAGTGCAAGATGTTTGAGTTTGTTTATCTTACTCTTTTCGCCGCCTATAATTGTCACGTCGTATCGATAAATAATTTTCTCTTTGTTCGAGGTTCATATTTTGTCTCCTGTTCCTTTCATTTTTGGCCCTTCTTGTCATTTGTTGTTGACTTGATATCTGACGGGTATTAATTTCCATTTTCTTAATGTAACTGCCAAACACATATGCAATTTATAAGCAACATAATTTCACTAATTATGTTGAAAAATATTGGTAAATATGGATGAGATTTAAAATAAATATATTTGTTTTTGGAAAAAAGAAGTTTACACCAAAAAGTATTATTTGTAAAACATATGTTAAAAATATAAATCAAAACTAAAATATAAAAAAGACGAAGAAAAAATGGGCAACCAATAAAAAGAAACATAAATTATGTTGGACAAATAGATGAAAAGATTGCATATTAACTAAACATTAAAATATAAAATGGGGTAAGAAATGAAATTAGTGTAACTTAATTATATGAAAAACCGTCAAAGTGAATATTTGCTTAGAGCATCTTTAGTGGGAGTAAACTAAATGGGTAAATTAAGATACTTTTTGTGGGCCCAAAGTGATTTGTAGGATTTAAAAAATTTATAGTTGATTTGAGTAGTTTTTACTTTAATGGTGGTTGTCCATAAGAAACCAAGACTTGATCCCACATTTTATATTTTTTATTCAAGTTACCATTAATTTAATTATTTTATTTAAAATGCATATATTTTTTTAAAAAAAATTTACCTTAAAAACTTAAAAATAATATTAAATATATTTTATTATAAAATTAAAAATGATACAAAATTCACAACAATAATAATAAAAAAAATTACATTTTCATAGGAATATAATTATAATAAGGATTTGATTGGTTGTCATCCATTTGATAAATAAATAAGATTGAAAATTGAAAGAAAAAAATTTAGAAGTAAAACTGTATGTAAAAAAAATTAAAGTTTCTATAGAATTTATAGAAGATAAAAAATGGTAATATGACCGTTACTATTTAAAATAAAATATTTGGAATATTTTATTAATATTAAATAATATTATAATAGGTTTCACAAGAATAGTTAACGTTAACTATATAGATAATGAGAATTAAATTTTAGTTCATTTGGATGCCATGTCAGCTCTACTATAATGCAAATTCCTTATTACTAACGTAAACTATTAGGAATTTTGGTTTAACAACCCTGCGTTAAAGTTGCTCTGAGAGAGAGATACGATTAATTTGCAAATAGCTTGACAAATTGGGAGAAATAGTTTGTAAATGGCTTGGAGATAGACTCACTCTGCATAGAGTAGTTAGTATGAACCTTAATAATAGGAAGGACTATTGGAAATAGTGGGAAGTTATTTTTTTACAGTTATTATTTAGTATTATTTTTAAATAAATCATGTGAGAAATTAAGCATTAAGGTAAAGGGTAAATATGGAATAAAAATATGAAATTAAGCATTAATGAAGAGTAATTGTGGAACAAAAATAGGTCACACCAAAAAGTTGTATCTCCTTTATATATAGTTATAGATTCATAACAATAATTAAGATATTGATTTTATAATTTGAAAAAATTGTACACTTTCCATCAATCTATGCATCAATAAAAAGTTAGTGTTCCCCTCAAATTATACATCAAATTTTGATGAATTATATTAAATTTTTAACTATTTTTAGTATAACCATTTCCTCTCTTCTGTCATCATAAAAAAAAAAACACATTCAAAAAATATTTGAGATAAATAATATGTATCTTCTTTGTAGTTTTTTTTTTTGAAATAAAAATTTATATATAACCAAAAAAAAAACAATCCGTACAGAGTGGTCCAGCCAACAAACACCAAAAACATGTGATCCTACAAAACCAGCTACATTATAAGTATTTGAGCAACATCCTCACGCAGCTTTGGTTTTGTTCACAATCTACGAACAAGAATATCTATGACCTTTTGTCCGATATTGGTATTGCTAATACCGTTCCTATACACTTTATCATTTCTATATTGTATTTCAACAATCGTATATTGTCTCCGCAAACGCCGCATTGAGGACTTTGACTCTTCAATTTTTACTCTTACTAACATGAATCATCCAATTCAATTCATGAGCCCATTCCTTTGGGTCATGAGATACCTGCAACCAATTCAACACATGCTTCCACACCTGTGCCATGTCCCTGGATTCAAAAAGAAGATGCTGCAAATTTTCTGCATTATCACAGAAGCTGCACATATCGCTACTCAGCATACCAAACCTAAGAAATCTCTCCTTTGTTCTGTTGCCAGCCTATCTTGACAAGCTATCCACATGACAAACAAAACTCTAGGCCTATCATAAAAAAGCTTCCTCCATTGAACCTGCTGCTGTTGGTCCAAAAGCACATAATAGAATTTTTTCATGCTAAACCTATTTGTCTGTAAACATCCTGCCATTCTTCCATTCCCCATGCACAACAATTCTCTGTTTGAGAATGTTTTTCAGAATTCAAGAGCAAGTGGAATTAATTGGCACACTCATAATATCGTCCTGCTTATGGATCATTTGATCCAATAACTATCTTCTTTGTTGCATAACTTCCACAACAGTTTGATCATACTAGCTTGGTTCCACTCAGCCATAGCTATCACATTCAAGCCCCCTTGCTTCTTTGGAGCACAAACTTTCCTCTAAGCAACAGGTGCCTTTCTTGTAATACTACTTTTATGGAGCACAAACTTTCCTCTAAGCAACAGGTGCCTTGTAATACTAATTTTACCAGACTACAAGAAGGTTCTGCATATGACTTCAACTGTGTGTGTCACCCCTTTATTAGTGAAACTTAATGATAAAAACATCTTTAATTTTATTTTATTTTATTTTATTTTATTTTTCCCCTCGTACTTATATAAAGTTTTATTTAAGATAACTCTGATTGAAAATGCCTTTGTCCTAACATTATTATGTAACATTTGATTCAAATAAAAAAAAAAGAGCTATTTCATTTCTAACATATTTTATTTTATTAACCTTGAATGCATGGATGTACTATTCTCGAAGTAGTCAAATGTATAAGAACCATACGGTATAATAATAATATTTGATGTCAAATGAAGCATTACATAGTTTAGAGCCTTATTATATCTGATACAAACCTGTCTTGTGTTGTCAAAAACAAAACTGATAAAAGCATATCTTGCGTTAACCGATAACTTACACCATTCGATTTTACCTGCGCAAGTCATGGTCGCTACCAATTTCTTTTTGACTTGTTTATTAGCCAGCTCCCCGTTTCTTCTCAAGGACACTTACACATTGAAAGAGTTGATCTACAACTCCCCTCTAAAACATACAACTCAAATCTACAATTGATTAAACGCATTTCATTTCACACCGTAGATCATTTATATTGAATACATTCCACCCTTAACCTGTTTTCTGTACAAAAGCGTTTATGTCAAAAGCATCACCGGCTGTAGTCTTCGTAATGACACCCTGCTCAGAGAAGATAAAATGGTCAGAGCAAAGTGATAATGAAACCAATAAAAACCATGCAAGAGAGAGAGGTAAGACAGACCTTCTCAGTGATGATCCCAGAAATTAGATTAGCAGGTGTTACATCAAACGCCGGATTCCACACAGATATTCCTGAGGCAGCAACTTGCTCTCCGAGTCCTCCGCGTGAGTTCAACAACTCCTTGGGAGATCTCTCCTCGATAACAATTTGTTGCCCAGAAGAAAGTGATAGATCAATGGAAGTCAAGGGTGCAGCAACATAAAAAGGCACATTATGAAACTTGGCACATAAGGCAACACTATAGGTTCCAATTTTGTTGGCTGTGTCACCTGTAATGCCGTTTAAAAGAAAATAAATCTGCTGATAGCTTTCTTGGTTTAGAGGACACACAAATTAGTTTTATTTTGTTGCAACATAAAGTACCGTTTGATGCAACACGATCTGCGCCAACAACAACAGCATCCACACGTCCTGCTTGCATTAGTGCAGCTGCAGCAGAATCTGCTATGAGAGTTGCGGGTATTTTTTCATGTACCAACTCATAGGCAGTAAGTCTGGATCCCTGCAATTAAGCATTATGATTTGTAGTTAGTGAAGAAGTGATTCTCAACATACATGCAGGCAAAACCCTACATTCAAGATATGTCTCAAAAGTCAAAACTACTTCAAATGCATGCAGGTAAAAAAACCTATATTAAAGAGATGCGTTCTCAAAAGCACTTCAGGGTTCAGCTAAGCAATTCCATCATCATTTTTAATCTGTCTAACCAGCAGGAAAAAATGTTAAGAATACTAGAGCTGTAATAGGAATGATCACTACCAGCAGACTCCCCAACTCAATTAATGAAAGAGATGCGCTAGGAACACACTCTTCTCCTCTATCCGTTAAAATCCAAATGGATTTTGTTGAAATACAAGAGACTAAGAGACATTTGAATAAACCGTGTGTTTTGAAAAGCACTACGGAGACATTATTATATATAGATAGATTACAACTAATTACATGATATAGTCGATGTGGGACTATTCTATATACAAATATTCTTAACACTATATATATTTCCAAATATCAACACTCCCCCTCAAGCTTGAGCATATAAATCAAATGCACCAAGCTTGTTACATATATAATTAATTCTAGGACTTCGTAGAGATTTTGTAAATACATCTGCCAATTGATCATTAGAGTTGACAAAGCTTGTGACGATGTCGCCTGACTCGATCTTCTCTCTGACAAAGTGACAGTCTATCTCAATATGTTTGGTCCTCTCGTGGAAGACTGGATTTGAAGCAATGTGCAATGCAGCTTGATTCAAATTTGAAGTTCCTTGAGCAACTGTTTTAACCAAATAAGTTCACATGTTGCCATTGCCATGGCCCTATACTCTGCCTCGGCGCTTGATCTTGCAACTACATTTTGTTTCTTACTTTTCCAAGATATAAGGTTTCCTCCAACAAGTACACAATACCCAGAGGTAGAGCGTCTATCAATGGGTGACCCTGCCCAATCAGCATCGGAGTATCCAATTATCCGATTATGTCCTTTATCCTCATACAAAAGACCTTTTCCTGGAGCGCATTTGATGTATCTCAGAATCCGGATAACAGCATCCATGTGTTCCTGACAAGGGGAATTTAAGAATTGACTTACCACACTGACTGCAAAAGAAATGTCCGGACGAGTGACTGTGAGATAATTCAACTTTCCAACCAATCTCCTATACCTTCCTGAGTCAGATAGAGGCTCCCCCTGATTAGGTAGTAGTTTAACACTTGGATCCATAGGAGTATCGGCTGGTTTAGCATTTAACAAACTTGTTTCTTCCAAAATATCCATAGCATATTTCCGCTGAGAAATCACTAAACCATCTTTAGATTGAGCTACTTCAATACCCAAGAAATAACGGAGCTTACCAAGATCTTTTGTCTGAAATTGTTTCGAGAGATGTTGTTTCAACTGGAGTATTCCCTGCTGTTCACTACCAGTTATGACAATGTCATCTACATACATAATAAGATAAATACACCCTTGGGGTGAGTGACGATAAAAAACAGAATGGTCAGCTTCACTACGTATCATACCAAATTGTTTTACTACAGTGCTGAATCTGCCAAACCAAGCTCTCGGGGATTGCTTAAGACCATAAAGAGACCTGTGTAGCCTACACACCATATTTGATGACTCCCCCTGAGCAACAAACCCAGGTGGTTGCTCCATATATACTTCTTCTTCAAGATCACCATGTAAGAATGCATTTTTAATGTCAAGTTGATGAAGAGACCAATGTCGAATGGCTGCAATGGCTAGAAGAAGTCTAATAGATGCCATTTTGGCTACAGGCGAAAAGGTATCACTATAATCCAACCCAAAAATCTGAGTGTATCTTTTGGCAACCAAGCGAGCTTTAAATCGATCAATCTTACCATTTGGACCAACTTTCACTGTATAAAGCCAACGACAACCTACTAAAGATTTTCCACGGGGTAGAGGAACCAATTCCCAGGTACCACTGCTTTGAAGAGCACACATTTCATCAATCATTGCTTGCCTCCACTCAGGGTGAGATAATGCTTCACTTGGAGTTTTAGGAATAGAAACAGAAGACAAAGAAGACAAACAAGTATACTGCAAAGGGGAAAGACGATGATAACATAAATCAATATAATGTGGAGAAGGATTTCTTGTTTGACGTATACCTTTTCGAAGGGCAATCGGAAGATCAGACTCAGGTTGCAGGATCGGATCCGATGATGGCGAGAGCGTCGGAGGAGAGTCCGTAGTGACCTCAGGGACAGATACGACTTCAGGGACAGGGACAGGTATGACAGACGTTGGGTGACGACGCTGATATGTTTGAAGTGGGCGAGGAGTGGGGGGGTCAACCGTAGGGGTATCTAATGGGTCAGGTTCCCTAGAATGATGGGGGATAATGACAGATGGGACTTCCGAAAGAGGTGTCGGAATACTTTCCTGTAGAGGTTCCGTAGTTACTTGGCTGAACTCAAAATATGGAACAGACTCGAAGAAGGTAACATCGGCCGATACGAGGTATCGTTGTAGAGTATGTGAGTAGCCATGAGTATCTGAAGAGAGAAAATATCACGCGATCGGTCGCCGGACGTGCTGACACGTGCGGAGTCGGAAGAGGCGCGTGTGGAGGTTTCTACCAATGAAAAAGGTTGTCGGAAGGTCGCCGAGAATAATAGCGATGGCGGCTATGCGGTTAATACTGGAGAATGTTGAAACCCGATGTAACGGCGGCAAGGTGATCACCAAAGAAGTGAGGCAAACCGGAGTGACAACACGGTTTGCAAAAAAAAATTCTCACCGGAAGACAGTGGGTCAACCGGGTAAAGCACGGCGAAGAAAGAATTGCCTCTTAGCAGACTCTAGATACCATGTTGAAATACAAGAGACTAAGAGACATTTGAATAAACCGTGTGTTTTGAAAAGCACTACGGAGACATTATTATATATAGATAGATTACAACTAATTACATGATATAGTCGATGTGGGACTATTCTATATACAAATATTCTTAACACTATATATATTTCCAAATATCAACAGATTTCATTAAATCATGTAGACCCCACATAAATTTAGTGGGCCATATGAATTTCAAACCCATAAAAGAGTGTGTGTTGAAAAGAGTGAGTGTTTTGCTAGCTAGCATAATTCTTAATGAAGCTTAGTTTGAGTAACAACAACCACCAAGCTTTATCCCACTAAGAGTCGGCTCCACTGATCAAATTATTGCATAATGTTCTATCCAATTCGTTAATCTCAATATCTTTCTTAATAGTTTATCTTATAGTTTTTCTAAGTCTTCCTCTACCTTCTCTCTATCTAATCTACCTCCTTACAATAGAATCTGCTACAGGTCTTCTCTCTACACGCCCAAACCACCTAAGCCTATTTTCCATGGAGATTCGCATAATGTTCTATCCAATTCGTTAATCTCAAGATCTTTCTTAATAGTTTATCTTATAGTTTTTCTAAGTCTTCCTCTACCTTCTCTCTATCTAATCTACCTCCTTACAATAGAATCTGCTGTAGGTCTTCTCTCTACACGCCCAAACCACCTAAGCCTATTTTCCATGGAGATTCAAACAATTTGCTTACCTATTATGTTTTAAATGAACTACTAGGCAGACATCGAAACATGAATAACAAGAAAAAATATACCCATCACTATGATACAAATTGATGTATATCTGAAAATTGAGTACTCTTGTTAAGAAATGCATTTCATGTTTTAAACTTTGAAATTGGAAGATGGAACATAAACCAAAATATAAGCATATTACGACATTTCAGTTCTGCTTCATGCCATGCTTTAATCCAAGATTGCAAGTTGCAAAATAAACCAACTCTAACAGAACATCTTGATGAAAGTAACTTTTAAGTGTGCATCTTCTCTCAAAAGAAATCCGATAATAATTATATTTGGAAGAAATGAACTAACTTGATTGAATGGGCGGGTTTCCGTACAATAAGCCCTTTCTAAAACTCCTCCACTGTTGAGTGCACGGATTACACCAAGAGCAGTACCATATCCAGCTGTGGCTAAACTGAGTAACAAATTAAGCACACAATTGCCTATGAGTACTCAGTTACATACATTCTCTTTGTCAAACAAATGAAAAATAAAAAGATATTTATTATTATTATTATTATTATTATTATTATTAAATAGTTTGTTGGTCCTGTAAGTTAGCGAGTTTTTGATTTTAGTCACGGTAAATTTTTTATTTTTGGTATGAGTCCCTATATCTCAATTTTTGCGCGCGGTTTAGTCCGTAAAACCAAAATCCGCAGGTTTCCTGCGGATTTTGGCTTTAGAGACTGAAACGCATGCAAAAATTGAGATATAGGGACTCAGACAAAAAAAAAAACTTACAAGGACCAAAATAAAAAACTCGCTAACTTACTGAAACCAAAAGTGCATTTAAGCCTTATTATTATTATCATTATTATTATTATTATAAGTGATGTAACTGTAGCAGGCACCTTCCAGTGTTGCAATGGGTCAAAACTGAAAGCTTTTGTTTCTCTGTATGGTTTTGAATAAATTTAGCTCCATAAGTCCCAATTGCTCTGTTCGATGCAACATCGTCCTCAAGCATTATTTCGGAAGCTTCTACATAAGCCTGAAAATAATTCAATAGATTAAGTTTCAAATGGCCAAATCCAAAGTAAGAGTAAAAAGGTAAAAAATATAACTTCCTTTTTTTAATGCAATAATTCATCATTATAAAATCTTAGAAGTACCTGAAAAACACCCTTAGCCTCTGAAGTTGTAGCAGCAGCCTTTAATATGATTTCTTTGAGTTTTGTCGCAGCATCTGATAAGTTCACCGCGGTTGGCCGACTGAAGCAAAAAGGAAGGAAATGAAACAAAAACTCATGCTTCAAAAGAACTTCTTGACAACAACCTTAACTGCTTAAGGAGATATTACAACATACTAAATGCTACTTATTTATCAAGAATGGCATGACTTAGGTCATCCACAATAAGTAGATTGTTGTCTTGGTAATACGGTTAATCGAGAAAATACCTCGAGACAAGATAGTCCAACTTCTTCTGCAGGAAGTATACAGCGTCATCGGTAGATCCATTGAAATCATCTAAATTGGATACCTCCACAGCCAGAGAGAGAGCTGCTGCAATAGCAATAGCAGGTGCTCCTCGGACCACCATATCTCGTATAGCATTCCTGAGAAAGTCGTAAGATATAGTAGATATTGAGATACACAAATTGAAAATATATAACAGATGATAATTCAGATTCAATAGGCATTCTTTTCTTTCCATTATCGTTACTTCAGTGACCAAGATTTGAAATGCAGACTACATCACATAATGCAGTGTAATGCAGCTACAAACTCTCTGGTTGCAAAGGCCATCAAAAGTGCATCATGAATAAATACTTAAAACTTACAACTTACAACTGCAATTTAAAACCTTGATAGAAACATCATAACAAACTACGATTGACCATTTAAGAAGTCTTATCTCACTAAGTGAGTTCCGCTACATGGATCAACTTTCGTTATAATGTTCCATTTAGAACCATGTTTCTATCCAAATCGTTAATCTCGAGATCTTTCAAAATAAATTCTCTTATAGTTTTTCTAAGTCTTCCTCTAACACTAGTTGTTTGACGTCTCTCTATCTAATGTACTCTACTTACCACAAAATCTACATTTCTTCTCTCTACATGTTCAAACTACCCAAGTCTATTTTCTACCATCATTTCTGATTCTATTAATGTTTACTTTTTTTGTGTTTGCAGAAAATTGTATCTAGCAACTTGACACCCAATGAAACACAAGGCCGCAAAAAACACCAAGTCAAGTTGGCTATTAGGATTTTAAATAAACGTCGGCACTATGCAAGCCCCAACACAACAGTTTTTTATGTTGCAAAACCACAACACAGCCAAAGCTAAGGCTATCAATAATCACAAAGCAACCATTAATGTAACCCCTATTTAAAACTTTTTTCTTTGTCATAATCAGGACGGACTACTGCACAGTTCAAAATTTGTCACGGTCAAACTGTAGCTAAATAGAACCTCATAACGTTTTTGTCATAGCTAGGACGTAGTTAAATAGGGCATTTGTTTGTTATCATAGTTAACTTGAGACTAATTTGGGTCTCTAAAAACTTGAGATGACTCAGTTTAGAACTATGTAAATTACAACAATCAAATTATGACTCTTGTTATAACTTTACAAATCATCAAAATCCGAGTTAAATCGTTTACACAAAACATAAAGAGATGATAAAAAAAATAAAAACTAAAGAGAGAGAAATTCAAGTGAAATATGTTACCAGCCATCGTTTGAATCCCGAATTTCCAAGTAAACACTTTCTAAAGGGAGCTTCCTCTACAGAACAACAAGTGTCACCACCAGCGATAATAATATATTAAAAAAAAACGAATAAAATTGAATGCGGGAATATGAAGTGAAGGGGGAAAATGAGGACCTGGTCGAGAAGCTGAAGAGAACCGCGGTTATAGCAAATGGAAAGGAGCGTGTTGGTGGCGTTGGAATTGGATGCCATTGATAGAGAGAGATTGAGTGATGTCGTTAGGGTTCGGTTCAGAACTCTCGTTTCGTCAATGTCTCGACTGAGAGTGGTGTTTGTGCTATGATGCTGCAATCATGCTTCTTTTACTTTCTTCTTTTACTTTTACCGTTTGAATGCAATTTTTTATTCCTTATCCCGGGGTAGCGTAAGAATATTTTTAGAACAGTATAAAATATAAAACTTTATTTTACTGTTTACATAATTTTAATTGATATGTAGCATTAACTTTTTATTGAATAATGAGAAAAGAAAGATTCACTAAAAACATTTACAAGCCTATTTTTTTAAAGAATTGTTTTTTAAAATATTTTTAATTCATGTCAGTTGAATTAGAAATTGTCTAAATGATTTAAATCAAATTTGTATTGTCTAATTGATTGATATATATGATCAATTGATTGAGTGAGTATAAAAGTTGTCATTGAACGTTTAAAATAGTGTCTTAATGAATGATAACAATTATATATCTTTTCCTTCCTTTTTAAACATCTTAAATGATTAATTTGAGATCTTTCAAGCAATTAGAGCAAGATAACAATCGATCGACACGTTACTTTTAGTCCAAGAAATTTTCCTTTTTCGCGCCACCCTCTAGCCTATAAGTAGAGGATCTTTCCTCCATATTTTCACATTCAAAATCGTGAGTACTATATCCCACAATTCACCCCCTATTACGTGTGGAGTCATATGTCCAACAAGTGACACTAAAGTCTAACTACTCTTCAAGGATTAATCTGTTGGAAAAAATGTGAGTCGTTGAGAATCAAGCGTGAGTTCTAAGTCCCACATTGCTTAAAAAAGTGGAGGTTGAACACTTTATAGGTGAGATGACTCATACACCTATCACCTTAAGGTTTTTGATGAATATGTGGTGTCTCTCTCACTTGTTTTAGGTGAGTCTTTGACCTTTAGGTGAGTGTTTGACCCAATGCGTATGTTTTTTCCTCATGATGACCCATCATTGGTATCGGAGCCTGATTCGAGAGCATAATGGATGGACTCACGCTTGAAGGGGAGATTATTGGAAAAAATGTGAGTCGTTGAGAATCAAGTGTGAGTTATAAATTCCACATTGCTTAGAAAAGTGAAGGTTGAGCAATTTATAAGTGAGATGACCTGTACACATATCACCTTAAGATCTTGGATGAATATGTGGTGTCTCTCTCACTTGTTTTGAGTGAGTTTTTTATTTTTAGGTGAGTGTTTTAACCCAATGTGTATGTTTCCTCCTCATGATGATCCACTATAATCATCTCAGGAGAAAGATGACTTCTAACATATTTTTAAACAAAAGTTTTTTCCTAAACACACATCCACCGTTTAATCGTGCTAGGTTTGTAATATGGAAAGCTAGATATAGACTCTTTTTTCATAGTATTATTTTTGAATTGTGGGGAGCTATAACTAACAGTTTGTTTGTCTGTACTCATCAAATAGATATAGAAGTAGTAGATAAATCTGATTTTCTTCGGACTGTAGAATAAAAGAGAAATTTTGAAATAGATTTCAAAGCCAAGAACTTTATAGTAATGACCGTATTTGATAGTAAACTTCTTTATAACTATAATTGTAAAACTGCCAAGGAAACATGAGATTGTAACACCCCATATAATACTACCTAGAATCATATTACATAAAGCATTTAAATTTTTTTTATTTAAACAAGCATCATCTAAATGACATACAAAAGTGTATTATATCAAGATACATAATACATAGATGTCCTAAATAGACTAAACAGAAAGACATAATAGAACATATCCTTTAGATATCTATGTCTTCAACCTTCATATTTTTTCACTAAAACTCCAAGTCTTGCCACTAACCAGAAAAAAAACAACATGATTGGGGTGAGATGACTAAATCTCAATAGAGTTCCCTTATGTTATGGGTTATATTGGCTATAGGGATAGATATGAGTGCTCTAGTACCTGATTCTTTGTTTTTCATGTGTGCTGGTTTCCCGTGGAACTTCTAGCAAATTTCTCGAGTGTGACGCGGTTTGTTGCGGTAGTAACACCAGAGGTTAGATGAGTTCCTCTGATTTGAAAATTTAAAGGCAGTAACATCCACAATCAAAGCATTGGTTTCAAGAGGATTTGGATCAACTTTTCCCTTTCCTATCATAATGCTCCTGCAGGTTTCCTCCCTTTTAACATTAGCACAAATTTCGCCTAGTAAAGGTAGGATTGTTCTTCCGATAATTCTTTCATGGACTTCATCCAGATCCTCATTGAGGCCAGCAAGAAACTGAGAAACTCTTCCTTCTTCCACTATTTATAGATGGTGTTTGGCACCCTCGATTTACTTCCACTTGTGAGTACTAAAGAGATCAAGGTTCTGCCAAACACGCTTCAAGGAATTGATGTATTTTGTGACATTATCACTTCCTTGCTGAATATATTTAACCTTGTGAGTTCATAAATCTGAGATTTATTTCCCAAATCAGAATACATCTCTTCCAAACTTTCCCACGCTTCTTTTGTTATGGAATAACACATATAGTTACTACTAATTTCTTCTTCCGTGGAGTTTACTAACTATGTGATCAGTGCATTTTAATGTACCTTCCTCTATGGTTAGACTTAGGCATTTCTACCATTTAGTTTATTTAATTTCCTATTTTATAATGTTTTTACAATTTATTTTATTTTAAGCTTTATTTAATTTTCGTTTGTTATTTTTCAGCATTAATAGCTTTTAGTGAAAAATTCATAACTGGAGCTACAGGAATCGGATTGAGGCATTCTACCAGTCGTTGGAAAGCTAAGAAAGAGATCTACAACTTTCGTGTTGCACAAAGGAGCTGATTCGGATTTATTGAGTCTCGAATAATTCGTTGAAGTTTCTGACTTGTGACAATGTAGTTTTCCTTGCGGGTCTAGTTTAGGTTTCTGGCCCAGTTATTTTCTATTTAAAGTTGTTGTTGTGATGCAAAACAGGGACCGAGTTTATTTTTCCGAATTTTTTCCTTTGTTTTATAGTTTTCATGGAGAACTAATACCTCCGGGCAAATCCTGCTGTGTACGGTTTCAACACTTTGAGGTTATTATTATGTCAATTTACTATGATTCCTTTCAATCCTTTTCTATGAAGTCATCTGCTTAATTTGATTACAATTGTTTGCTTAATTCAATTGTTGTTCATAGGATAGAATTGGTTAAATTCGATTGTATGCATGTTCCTAAATTTAATTGCGTATTATCGTTTGCTTAATTCGTTAATTCGTCATATTCTTAACCGTTTGCTTAATTCGGTAAACAGGAACATAATTCATTTGATGTTGATAAGCGCTTGTCTGATTAATATCATAATCGAATAGGATTGGTACCGCTTAGGGATTGATGTTATAATAACTGATGATAAGTCGGAACCCGAATCAGTAGGATTAACCGTTTTAGTTTATCTGATAATCACTTTTTTTAATCATTTTTTTCCCTTATTTTATAAATCAAAACTTAAAACCCCCATAAACATTTTCTTTAGTTGGTTGAAATAATACAAGAATCCTTGTGAGAACGATATTTCGAGTCATTTGTCGCTATATTACATTTTTACAAAAATAACTCGTTTTTGATCCACGAGCGACCGCGGATCACTATGTCATCATCACATAACTTTTAGCATCCCATGTATTATGTTGTGAGTCACTCAAATTTGGCTCCGTTTGATCACTGGTGAGGTATCTTATTTTACCTCTGCCTCAGATATACATATGGACAAATTGAGACCACCAAAAGTAGTTCGACCCATTGAGTCGAAAATAGATGACTTGGATTGAATGAGAGTCACTATGAACACCTTTATGCTCTTGCTTTGGAGGCAAAATGTTTTTGAGAATATTATTCTCCACTTCATTATTGACTAAGGAACTGTCAACCATTGTGAATCAGAGGCGTATGTTACAGAGGTATGCTCTGAGACCAAGTTGAGACAAATGAGAGAAGAATAATTCTCGATTGTATTAATTTTTGAGGTGATCTCTTTCTCTTAAGTATAGGTAGAGATAAAGTCCAAAAATAATTACAACGATCCTATATTAATTATAGGATACTAAAAATAAAAATATTACATAAAAATAGAAATAACTAATATATATATATATATATATATATATATATATATATATATATATATCAAGAATATTTGTAATAATATTATGCAACACAATACTAATAGTATTTTATAACATTAGTTTGATATCAACTACACTCTTTGACATTATTTTAATTGATATCAAACTAATGTTATAAAATACTATTAGTATTGTGTTGCAGAATATTATTACAAATATTCTTGGGATGAAGATTATTATCATACTATTAATTTATTACAAATATTATCTACTAATATTCTTGGAATATTTCTGAAGCATCATAATCGCTATAATCATCATTATTTTAATCAATGATGAAGATTATTATGATGATGTCGATAAAGATGATTGAACTTCTCAACAAGTTTGGTATTTTGCAATATAAATTAATAGAGAACTAACCATTTCTTCGAAGAATTTAGGGAAATAAACCAAGTTCTACTTATTAAAGAGTGATATAGGTGAATTACAAGATGGATGCAATTCGAAAATCATGTTTGATATAAGTTGCATTTCAAATATAACTTAATTTTCAGATTATTATTTTCTAAATCACTTTAAATAAATGCATGTTCAATAAAGATAGTGAAACAAACAATCTACGTACATGTGTTGCCATGAAGAAAAAATACAAGGTGGATGAAGCTTCCAAAATTGCTTCATACTTCTTATATTGTTTCTCCGTAGAAATACAAAGCATTTATGAACCACACCCACCGTATGAGTTTTCTTGAACTAGATTTCAAAATATTTACAACTTTCAAAATGTTAACCTGTTTTGAAAACATAAACTAGCATTAATATTCTAACATGACAAGCAACAACAACCAACAGTACATTATTAACCAAAAAAGGAAGTAAATCATACCACAATAAA